ACAGGTTTGTAATGAGGATATATATATATATATTAAAAAGAGACTCATTGCAGATCAAGTAAACTCTTTATTATAAAACAGCATAAAAAAGTTAGAATAGCCATATAGAATGCAATGTTTTATACTGTATATATAAAACCCTACAAATAGGGTTGTCATAAAAAACAGGGCTCAATCTACTTGAGCTCAGCTGTCCTATTCCTCATCACTGTAGACATCCATAGCTGTTGACTACACTTGGACTTGTCATCCCTCGTTATGCTCCTTTAACAAAAATCACATATTATTTTATAATTCCAGATGATGACTCAGTTCCTATTCAATGCTAAGGAATCTTCTTTTCTTCGCTGTGTGTGTATATGCGTGGTGACGCCACTCCACATCTGCGGTGACCTCGTTCTCCAGGGTTCCCAGTTTGATCATATACACTAAATAGAAAGAGGACGTGGTGTTAATATTTAACGAGCCCAAAGAAAATTTGTACAGAGCAGAGGATAGTAATCCATTTTTTCTACAACTGGAGTTTCCCCTGATGCTCTTACTTCCAATCAGATCAAAATATCTTTTTTCTTCCTGGTGTTGCACATTAGTATACAATACATTATACAACACACAATACACTGATTTATATAAAAAATTGAAGCTACATATTTTTACTATACATTTTTAAACTTCCAAAAAAGTTTAGACTACATGTACATAAAAACTGTAGAATGTAAATTTCATGAAAAATACTAAAGCAGCAATGGCACCAACATACCTCAAAAACTTGGGAGGTGGAAAGAAAGTGGTAACCGTATGAATTGGCAACAGCTCAGTAATATGAATGGGTATAAAAAGAGTTTCTCAAAAGTACAAATGGGCAGAGGTTAACCAATCAGAACAACTCTGTGTCTGCCATGGATGGCTGTGATGTTTGGGCCCGGAGGCTGCACTGCATTATGCGGCATGATTCTCATGAATATGACTGCACATACTTGGCAATGCTTTCAGAAATCATAGTCAAACTAATCACAATTTGAAACAATTTCCACCAGACTAAATTGGACTAAAACACACCATGTTGTTTTAATCCTTAAATCAGGTGTAAATTGCTTTGATGTAATTTTGTAAACCTTTCATTGATCACAAGAAATCCCTCTACTACTGTAAGGACAGCAGCAATGCATTGTCTAGGGTTTTTATTGTGAAAGGTAAAGACAGGAAAAAAAGTCTTTCTCCTATGTATAAAACAAATCAGATTTCTGCTATGGATCAAGTAGTGACAGATGGAAAAACAAAGAATTTCCAGAGAAGATATAACCACGTCAACAATGGTTAATTCAGTTTCTGAAGAGCGGTAACTTTCCATACTTACATTTCATTTCAAACCTGGGCCCTACTTCCGTCAGCTGTATGTTCTTGTGGTCTGTTTTCTTATAGGTGTGATGTCTGTTAAAAATAAATGCATCATATCTTACTCTTTAACCCAAATAGCATTTTGTTTATATGAATTTTCACTTTTGATGCTCACCTGAAAGAGATGAAGTCTTCTTGGTTGGCGAATGTGATCACACGCCTGCTGTCCTCCTTTGGCACTGGAAAAAGATACTTGAGGATATTGGATACCTGCATGAGTAGAATTAATTAGTTGTACGCACAAACAAGCGGTGAGAAAGAATATCCAAGGCATGTGCTGTCCAGCACTCACTCACTCACCCTCTTGCCGAGCCGTGAGGTGAAGTTGTGAAAAATGAGGTGGGGGTAGGCCTCAGACATGGTGCCTATGTCGGGAACATCATGCCTCATTACCACGTTGTAAAGAGTGAAATAAGCTGTTGGGCCAAATGGCAAATGGCACACCACCAGGCCATCTGTAAATATATAAGAACAAACAAAACTAAGCAAAATAACAAATATTATGGTCAATACTGAGAGTTAAACAAAAACCCAAAACACTCCATTATAAATTTTAAAAGTGCAGAGTTTTCATATTGGTAAAGAAACTGTGTTTGTTTCTCTAGTGTTGACCTAACGTGAAGACTATAGGGCAGCTAGAATGAAAAAAAAACAAACAAACAGCAATGCACATGTGCAATGGATGTATGAACAAGCTGTACAATGTGGTCTGAAACCACCAACCAGTTTTAGCACTGTTGGTGGATGTTGTGCATACAGAACACAAAACTACGTAGTCCTTTATACCCCATGAAAGCTGAGTGGGAGTAACCATTAAAGCTCTTCTGAACTGAATGTTTCTGTCATATTTGAGCCTGCCTGTAGAGCAAAATGACTGAGTGTGGGGTTAATGAGGGTGGACTTTGCAGCAAAATGAATAAGTGAATAAAGCAAGTATACCTGGCTGTCCTCTTGTCTCATGCACGATGACGAGGTCGGTAACACTGTTAGCTTTGCAGGCTTGTACCAATGCAGGGATCTCATGATTTCCTCTGTTCATTCGCTGGGCCCCAGGGAACATCAACTTTACCTCCTGGAATCACATACAAGATGGGATTCGTGTATTATTGTCAACTCAATTTTTAATGGTCATGGTCTACACTGCTTTTTTTTTTTAAATATATAAAACCCGAACCCCAGGTTGTTATCAATAGCTGGGGCAGCGCCTTATACAGCATCACTGTCTGTATTTGTGCAGCTAAAAGAGAGCAAAAACTTCAGAAGACAGAAGAGTTTACCACCGACCACAAGCCTCAAGAAAAACTCAGAACTACAGCAAGGCATGCAATATGTGGCCAAATTAGGAAAAGCAGCGCAGAAGAGGTGTGTGCATGTCAGGGAGCAGTGACAAAGTGTAAAAAGTCACACATCTGCACAGATCACAAACTCACTAAGGCTACATCTACACAGGATGAATTTGAAAACTGTGTTTTCGTCTAAAAACGCTCCGCATCCACACTATGGTTTTCACAGAGTTGTTTATCCGCACTGAAACAACCTAAAATGCTTACATTCTAGTACTGCGCATGTGTGTAAAGTAAGATGATTCGACCTGTGTCATTTCTGTCTGCCATTTATTTACTTTCCAGCCCTTTGAAACATTGTGGCAAAATGTCGAGGAAAAGCACCAAGTTTTTTTAAATGGACTGACAATGAGGTGGAGTTGTTGCTGTGAGTAACACGAGAGTACAAAGTTGCAAAAGCGAGTGAGAATTAAAGAATTTGAAGAAAAGCTATCTGAAGCATGTACAAACTGATATTAATCTTTAATAGGGCTGTCAAAATTGAGAGCAAACAAAATAACTGCTGTATAATTAAGATAGGCCACCACTATTTTAGTTTAATTGGTCATCATATGACTAAAGTGTGTCGCTTTGGAGAGCATTTTCAAAAAGCTCAGTTTTCCTTGACCAAAAACGCCATCTGTGGACGGACGGCCAAAACGGAGAGAAAAAGATGCGTTTTCAAACGAAAACGTATTAGTGCGGACATGGCCTAAAGCACATAATACAAATCACTATGGGGTCTGACAAACTACCCAAATCTGTCAGAACTAAAGCCCCTTTTCCATTAGTATCTACTTAGCATGGCTCGCCACAGTTTTCAAGGTTTTCCATTTAGGTCACAGTACCTGGCAGCAGGTACTTTTTTAGTATCTGCTTGCCCTGGGTTCCAAACGATCTGAGCAGGTACTAAAATGTGATGTTGTCAGGCTGCATGCCACCGATTGGCTGGTCAGTAGTGTCACTTGATGAGTCATGACAGTATCTCATTCACGAACATCAGAACCGCCACTTTGGAATCCCAGTAACAAGGGAAATAACTACGAAAAACAACACTGTGGTCCCCTGAGACTGGCGAAAAGTCACAGACCGAGCAGCGGGTATGTTCTTGCCTCGGTGTATACCTTTGCTGTAGCGTCCGTGTCACATAGTAATTACTTTGTGGGACGCTTGGATGCTTTGCTATGACGACAGCCATGCATAAGAGGTACTATCCGAATGTAATGGAAAACCAGTCAATCCGAGTCGAGTCATGGCGAGTCGATCCGAGTAGGTGCTAATGGGAACAGGGCTTATGAGTCCAACTAGCACAATGTAGCCACTTACAGGAGGCAGCTGTCATTTCAATTTTATTAATATATCACACTTGCTGTTTCATGCCATCTATTACTTTTTATTACAATATGTTTTTGCTATTTCTACAATATCTGCATATGATACTGTGGTCAACAAGAACCTATTAATCTGAACAATCCACCTTTTTTCCTTAACCTCCTAAGACCCGAACTCTTTCATGGCATGCATTTTTTCTCTTTGCTATTGTGAGTCACAATTAAGTAATGATGTGAAAAACTCTTTATTTGGTGTCTGAACACAGCAGCATTTTTCTTGAGTACAAAAACAAAATGAGAAACAACAACTGTGCCACTGTATGGCTAATTTGAAAGAGCAAAATTTTGTATTGTGGTCTAACCCAAAATGTGATGTCCACATATGTGGACGCCAGGTCCTAGGAGGTTAAGGCCTAGCTTTACTACGCGTTTTCACATGTTAAATGGCTCACTTGTCTCTCCTTTTCACTCAAAAAAACAACAGACTAATGGAAACACACACACACGTTCAAATCAAGCCGACAGACAGAAGCACCCTTCATCCTTTTTTCTCTTTTTGAGTGTAGCTGCTCCCTACACAGACAATCATTTCAGAAGGGGGCAGATTTTCAATTTAATTTCAATCAATTTTTATATATATTACTGTAAGGTAAATATAGCTCCTACAATAATACAGAGAAATCCAAAACAATCAAATAATCCCTTATGAGCAAAAACTTGGCGAAAGTGGGAAGGAAAAACTTCCTTTATACAAGAAGAAACCTCTGGCAGGACCAGGCTCAAGGAGGGGCTAGAGAATTGTTGGATTAAAAATTAGTTGTATCCTTCAAAGAGTTTTGAAGCCTGTCAATAAGCCTGCATATCAGTATTTTTTACATTTTAATGCAAATGTCAACAAAAGCACCATGTAACACCATATTTCTAAGTTAGCACTATTTGTGCTATTTATCTTTTCATTCACAGAACTCCATTTAAATTCTTTAATACTGGACCTCCCTTGGTTTTAGACCAGGGCTCACAAAATTTCAAATCCCTGGTAGCCCTTCGGGCAGGGACTCTTCAGTTTTTGGTAGCCCAAAATAAATTTAAGTAGCCCGAATAAAAAAGAGAGCAATTTTTTGATTGATGTTTTGTTTCCTTTACAATATTATACATTAAAGTATAATATTGTAAAGGAAACAAAACATTAATCAAAAAATTGTTGAAACACAAATTACAACATTGTATAAAAATTACAAACATCAACTCAAATACTTGGTTCTTATTGAACAGAAATTTCTATGAACTTGTAAGAACTGTGTAGGACATGAATCAGTCTGTCAGATCCTGAATTTGAAATTTCCACTGAAGTCACGGGTAAGAGGCAAGTGGAACCAAGATCTAGGCCTTTTGCTTTTTGAAGTTTGCAAAGACTGCTAAATTTTGCCAGTGGTAGTTCACTCTTTGCAACATAGTAGCTGTTCTAAACAGATTTTTCAGGTTTATTTTTAGTTTGCAATTGGTGTTTGTTCTGGGAAAGATATTGCAGACTAAGCAGTAATGCATTTCTTTCATTTCTCATGGGTTTTCATTTTTCATCTGTAATATACAGAAACATCTCTGAAAACTATGAAGAACCAGGGTTGAAATAACTGCACATGCCATTAAATATGTGCTGTAGTAAATGTTTTGTGTTAATTCTGTCATTGAGGTTTTAGATACCTCTACGTGCTTGTGCTCAGAAAGTGATCTAACCTTGGCAAACATTTTGAGCCTGGAGCTTGGGTCTCTGGATGTAGTGACCATGACTTTAGGATCTTCTACTCCAGCCCATTTATACTCATCATCCACATGAGAGCTGACACCTGCGCGCACAAGAAAACACCAAAATTTATGAGTGAACAAAATGTGAGGAAAACTGACAAAATGCTGCTGATAGTAAGAATTCACGACACTTGCCTTCTGCCCCTTCGTCATCATACTCCACTAGTTTCTGTAGTTCAAGAGCTTCTTTGCGTATCTCAGTGGGAAGGAGATGATTTTCTGCAGAGAAGTAAAAGATGTTTTACTTCTGTGTGGTCAGAGCATTTTGGTGCCAACTCTGGTCAAGCAAAATGTAGTTGGAAAAAGGATCTTAATGATCACGCCAACCTACCGTCGAGGGCACCCTTCAGCTTCTGCTTTTTCTCCTCTATTGTTCGGAGCCTGTCCTCCTGTGCCTTCCTGTACAGGTACTCCCGCCTCAGTCTCACCTCTCGACGCAGCTACGCAAACATTACACCAAATTACTCCAAAGACAGGCCTCTTAACATAATGACATTACATTGCAAAATGACATTTGCCACAATATCTGAACATGTCTACACATCTCACACAACTTAGGAAAAATGGGTAAGGGACTTTGTCGAAAGTTAGTGAGAAAACAAGACGAAATTAGAAATAACTTATAATCGTAAAAACTTAATACATAATGGCAGACACATAAGTAGAAAGACTGAACATATCTGAACAGGTCTATGCTTAAATCTTCCTACAGTAAAAATTTTACTTAAGTAAAAAAAGATAATTTAAATTGAATTAAGGTCACTTTGGACTGGTTCTTATATAACCCTAGTTAACTTGAGCACTTAAAGTGTTTCATAACTCGAGCTTCAGCATCTTGCCCAAGGATACGTTGTCTGGACTGGAGCCAGGGATCAAACCAGCAACCTTCTGATTTGTAGAAGACCTGCTCTACTTCCTGAGCCACAGCCACCCCATATAATTAAGGATGTAAAAGCAGTTACTCTAACTTGGAGAAATTTTAAAATGAGGAAGCCACTAACAATTCACTCAGCTCATTAACCTGGATTAAAAGGAATGAAAAGTAGCGCAATAATAGCAGCAACTTCATATAGCCCCCTGGAGTTGGGAGTTAAACCCAAGACACTCTTTTTGGAATTAAAAAACAAAACAAAAACAGATGCTGATTTTACAACGAGTAAAAGTGCATTGTGATTGTTACTGTTCTAATTTTAACATTCAATCCAGTCCCTTCCTCCGTAGACTTACCCAGTAATTTATTTATACAAATGACTTCAAATGACACTGATGAACAGACTCCTTAAACTGAGAAGAACAGAAGAGTCTGTGGATTTATTTCATTAAACTCTGTGACATAAATGATTAAACAATTCTCAAAAACCCTGGCATTTGAACATAAAACCCACTTTATCTATGTTCTATTTTCAAGGTACACAGACATAAAAGTTCAGTTACAAAAAAAAAAAGCACATACAGTGTCCCGTTAATTCACATTTAATAACCTACAGGGGTTCTCCCTTCACTGTTCTGTGTCTGGCAATCAAGATTGTATTTTCATCAGTCACATTTTAATGACACATTTTTGAGAATTTACTAAAGGTTACACGTAATTCTCAATTATTTCTTTCTGACACTCCTAAAGTGAGCACAAAATGTCATATTTCTGAGAGCTGCTATCTTTGTTTTGATTAGAAAACTCACGCTTATTGACCAACGAGCAATTTTTTTTCACTCATTACATAGGCTTCGTGGTTTTATTTTTCCCAGTTATACACCAGTCTGTGACGATACAGAAAACGCAGTTGGAACGAAATAAAGCGCTTAAACAGTACTCTAGTATTTCAACATTACCAGTTACAGAACTTTACTGCTGTGCTCTATGGCTCTATGTGAATGCGTGCTAACACTCGGGTGGGGAAATGCGCTTGGTACATCCGCCTTGAGCCTGGCTTCTGTGTAGGCTTCGACCTCTACAATCTCCTTTTGGTATCAAACTAAAACACAAATTAACGCTCGCACAAACCTTACAATTTTTTAACTTACCATGATGTGTTTATTGCTAGTAGCTAACCCACGCTACTCACGTGGACACGGAGAGAGACGAGCCTACAAGAGTTTGCGCCATTGGCTGAAAGAAGGACCAATGGCAAACGTCGATACTGACTTGTAATGTACTGTACTGACTCATTTTTCAAATTAAAAGCCAAATAATTATTTTTCTTCTTTCTCTTTTTTGTCTTTCTTTCTTTCTTTCTTTCTTTCTTTCTTTCTTTCTTTCTTTCTTTCTTTCTTTCTTTTTTTTACCGACAAACTTGTGAATAAACAGACACATAAATCCACCAAGTTGTAGTTAGAACGAAGTTTTTCTCTTGAGGATTAAAGATAAGATAAGATAAGATAAGATAAAACTTTATTAATCCCTCGGGTGGGTTCCTCTGGGAAATTCGGTTTCCAAAAGCACAGCACCGACAGAAGT